TTTCATAAGGATATTAATCGATATAACAGGCAGATTTCTCAACAAGATCAAATAATTAAATGATTTAGATCCATTTCTTTCATTGCGTTCATTACGTTTGTAAACGTAGAAAAATGCATAAAAATCCACGATTTAATTATCTTTTTTAAATTATGTCATTGCAAATATGCGGCACGAAATTTGAATTTATTAAAATATAATATCATAATAAAAATTTAATAATATTCTTTTCAGCTTCTCTAATCAAGATCCGATTTTTTGTTACTGGGGCTATTTATTTGCCCTGTCGAAGCTAGTTGAATTCGGCGATACATTTTTCATTATATTACGAAAACAACCGTTAATATTTCTACATTGGTACCACCACACTGTAACTTTTCTTTACACGTGGCTCTCTTATATGGAAGATGCTGGATACGCTAAGTGGTTTGGTTTTATGAACTGTTCTATTCACAGTTGTATGTACACTTACTACGCCTTCAAAGCAATGGGATATCGTCCGCCAAGACGGTTAGCCATGATGATCACTTCAATTCAATTATCACAAATGTTTGTGGGTAGTTTTCTAACTATAACAACTTACTACTACGTTTACATTGCCAAAGTTGAATGTCTCGTTACGCCGTTCAACATCACTGTTGCTACAATCATGTACGTTAGCTATGCCATTCTCTTCGCTAGATTTTTTGCGCAGGCTTATCTGTCTAATAAATCTGCAAAGAACATCAAAAACAAGAATGGCAACAGAAAACTGAAAGTTACCTAAAACACGTACAGTTTTACATTTTCTTTTTTTCGTTTTTTCGTTCATAATACATTTTTCCAGAATCTATTGAAGTTTTGTTAGGTAATTTTTGATTATACGATTAAGTTTAATCTATTATTCAACTTGACTGTACATAAAATGTTTTTGGGAACAAAATATCGTATATACATAAAAATTTGTCTTTTTATATAGGAAATAGGAATTATTGTATATATATGTAAATTTGTCTTTTTATATAGGAAATAGGAATTATTGTATATATAAATAAATTTATAAGTAAATTTGTATTTTTATATAGGAAATAGGAATTATCTACTGAATAGATAATTCCAATTTATAACAAGTGTTATATATTGTATAATTATTCTTCACAAACAAATGTGATATATATGTAAATTTTCCATTTCCTAATGTCTAACGAATATTCACATCTATTTTGACATGGTTGGAATGTTTTTTTTCTTATATTGTTTCTTATAGACCTTCCTCTGTATTTTTATATATTGTTTAATTACAGTATATATTTCTTGTGAACTATGTTTCCGTTCTTTAATTATTATTTGTCTTTATCAGTGTATTTCTTAAATAAAAATATCTAGAGCGAATGAATAAAGAATAAATAAAAATGTACCTTACTTATCTATTCATTTTTTAT